TGATATTCACATCAAACTATTCCAAATCCTGCAACAGAAACGTTTTAAGCAAAAATCTGGTCTTGCACGTGAAGGTGCAAAGTAAAGAATTTCTGAATGGCAAGTGTAACGTGTGTGACATCCTATAGGATGCCGATTCACGGGCGTTTTTAAGGCGGGCAAATTCGAGAAAGAAGTTTTATTACAGTTCCCCCCAAATGAAGTCTATTTCTATGATATTCACATCAAACTGTTCCGAATCGTGCAATAGAAACGTTTTAAGCAAAAATCTGGTCTTGCACGTGAAGGTGCAAAGTAAAGAATTTCTGAATGGCAAGTGTAACGTGTGTGACATCCTATAGGATGCCGATTGACGGGCGTTTTTAAGGCGGGCAAATTCGAGAAAGAAGTTTTATTACAGTTCCCCCCAAATGAAGTCTATTTCTATGATATTTACATCAAACTGTTCCGAATCGTGCAATAGAAACGTTTTAAGCAAAAATCTGGTCTTCCAAGGGCCCAAAGCAAAGAATTTCTGAATGGCGAGTGCAGCGTGTGTGACATCCTATAGGATGACGATTCACGGGCGTTTTTAAGGCGGGCAAATTCGAGAAAGAAATTTTATTACAGTTCCCCCCAAATGAAGTGTATTTCGATGATATTCACATCAAACTATTCCGAATCGTGCAACAGAAACGTTTTAAGCAAAAATCTGGTCTTCTGCAGGCGCAAAGTAAAGAATTTCTGAATGGCAAGTGTAGCGTGTGTGACATCCTATAGGATGCCTATTCACGGGCGTTTTTAAGGCCGGCAAATTCGAGAAAGAAATTTTATTACAGTTCCCCCCAAATGAAGTGTATTTCGATGATATTCAAATCAAACTGTTCCGAATCGTGTAATAGAAACGTTTTAAGCAAAAATCTGGTCTTCCGAAGGCGCAAAGTAAAGAATTTTGGAATGGCGAGTGCAGCGCGTGCGGACATCCTATAGGATGCCGATTCACGGGCGTTTTTAAGGCGGGCAAATTCGAGAAAGAAATTTTATTACAGTTCCCCCCAAATGAAGTGAATTTCGATGATATTCACATCAAACTATTCCGAATCGTGCAACAGAAACGTTTTAAGCAAAAATCTGGTCTTGCACGTGAAGGCGCAAAGTAAAGAATTTCTGAATGGCAAGTGTAACGTGTGTGACATCCTATAGGATGCCGATTCACGGGCGTTTTTAAGGCGGGCAAATTCGAGAAAGAAGTTTTATTACAGTTCCCCCCAAATGAAGTCTATTTCTATGATATTCTCATCAAACTGTTCCGAATCGTGCAATAGAAACGTTTTAAGCAAAAATCTGGTCTTCCAAGGGCCCAAAGCAAAGAATTTCTGAATGGCGAGTGCAGCGTGTGTGACATCCTATAGGATGACGATTCACGGGCGTTTTTAAGGCGGGCAAATTCGAGAAAGAAATTTTATTACAGTTCCCCCAAATGAAGTGTATTTCTATGATATTCACATCAAACTGTTCCGAATCGTGCAATAGAAACGTTTTAAGCAAAAATCTGGTCTTCTGAAGGCGCAAAGTAAAGAATTTCTGAATGGCAAGTGTAGCGTGTGTGACATCCTATAGGATGCCGATTCACGGGCGTTTTTAAGGCGGGCAAATTCGAGAAAGAAATTTTATTACAGTTCCCCCGAAATGAAGTGTATTTCGATGATATTCAAATCAAACTGTTCCGAATCGTGCAATAGAAACGTTTTAAGCAAAAATCTGGTCTTCTGAAGGCGCAAAGTAAAGAATTTCTGAATGGCAAGCGTAGCGTGTGTGACATCCTATAGGATGCCTATTCACGGGCGTTTTTAAGGCCGGCAAATTCGAGAAAGAAATTTTATTACAGTTCCCCCCAAATGAAGTGTATTTCGATGATATTCACATCAAACTATTCCGAATCATGTAACAGAAACGTTTTAAGCAAAAATCTGGTCTTCTGAAGGCGCAAAGTAAAGAATTTCTGAATGGCAAGTGTAGCGTGTGTGACATCCTATAGGATGCCTATTCACGGGCGTTTTTAAGGCCGGCAAATTCGAGAAAGAAATTTTATTACAGTTCCCCCCAAATGAAGTGTATTTCGATGATATTCAAATCAAACTGTTCCGAATCGTGTAATAGAAACGTTTTAAGCAAAAATCTGGTCTTCCGAAGGCGCAAAGTAAAGAATTTTGGAATGGCGAGTGCAGCGCGTGCGGACATCCTATAGGATGCCGATTCACGGGCGTTTTTAAGGCGGGCAAATTCGAGAAAGAAATTTTATTACAGTTCCCCCCAAATGAAGTGAATTTCGATGATATTCACATCAAACTATTCCGAATCGTGCAACAGAAACGTTTTAAGCAAAAATCTGGTCTTGCACGTGAAGGCGCAAAGTAAAGAATTTCTGAATGGCAAGTGTAACGTGTGTGACATCCTATAGGATGCCGATTCACGGGCGTTTTTAAGGCGGGCAAATTCGAGAAAGAAGTTTTATTACAGTTCCCCCCAAATGAAGTCTATTTCTATGATATTCTCATCAAACTGTTCCGAATCGTGCAATAGAAACGTTTTAAGCAAAAAATCTGGTCTTCCAAGGGCCCAAAGCAAAGAATTTCTGAATGGCGAGTGCAGCGTGTGTGACATCCTATAGGATGCCGATTCACGGGCGTTTTTAAGGCGGGCAAATTCGAGAAAGAAATTTTATTACAGTTCCCCCCAAATGAAGTGTATTTCTATGATATTCACATCAAACTGTTCCGAATCGTGTAATAGAAACGTTTTAAGCAAAAATCTGGTCTTCTGAAGGCGCAAAGTAAAGAATTTCTGAATGGCAAGTGTAGCGTGTGTGACATCCTATAGGATGCCGATTCACGGGCGTTTTTAAGGCGGGCAAATTCGAGAAAGAAATTTTATTACAGTTCCCCCCAAATGAAGTGTATTTCGATGATATTCAAATCAAACTGTTCCGAATCGTGCAATAGAAACGTTTTAAGCAAAAATCTGGTCTTCTGAAGGCGCAAAGTAAAGAATTTCTGAATGGCAAGCGTAGCGTGTGTGACATCCTATAGGATGCCTATTCACGGGCGTTTTTAAGGCCGGCAAATTCGAGAAAGAAATTTTATTACAGTTCCCCCCAAATGAAGTGTATTTCGATGATATTCAAATCAAACTGTTCCGAATCGTGTAATAGAAACGTTTTAAGCAAAAATCTGGTCTTCCGAAGGCGCAAAGTAAAGAATTTTGGAATGGCGAGTGCAGCGCGTGCGGACATCCTATAGGATGCCGATTCACGGGCGTTTTTAAGGCGGGCAAATTCGAGAAAGAAATTTTATTACAGTTCCCCCCAAATGAAGTGTATTTCGATGATATTCACATCAAACTATTCCGAATCATGCAACAGAAACGTTTTAAGCAAAAATCTGGTCTTCTGAAGGCGCAAAGTAAAGAATTTCTGAATGGCAAGTGTAGCGTGTGTGACATCCTATAGGATGCCTATTCACGGGCGTTTTAAGGCCGGCAAATTCGAGAAAGAAATTTTATTACAGTTCCCCCAAATGAAGTGTATTTCGATGATATTCAAATCAAACTGTTCCGAATCGTGTAATAGAAACGTTTTAAGCAAAAATCTGGTCTTCCGAAGGCGCAAAGTAAAGAATTTTGGAATGGCGAGTGCAGCGCGTGCGGACATCCTATAGGATGCCGATTCACGGGCGTTTTTAAGGCGGGCAAATTCGAGAAAGAAATTTTATTACAGTTCCCCCCAAATGAAGTGAATTTCGATGATATTCACATCAAACTATTCCGAATCGTGCAACAGAAACGTTTTAAGCAAAAATCTGGTCTTGCACGTGAAGGCGCAAAGTAAAGAATTTCTGAATGGCAAGTGTAACGTGTGTGACATCCTATAGGATGCCGATTGACGGGCGTTTTTAAGGCGGGCAAATTCGAGAAAGAAGTTTTATTACAGTTCCCCCCAAATGAAGTCTATTTCTATGATATTTACATCAAACTGTTCCGAATCGTGCAATAGAAACGTTTTAAGCAAAAATCAGGTCTTCCAAGGGCCCAAAGCAAAGAATTTCTGAATGGCGAGTGCAGCGTGTGTGACATCCTATAGGATGACGATTCACGGGCGTTTTTAAGGCGGGCAAATTCGAGAAAGAAATTTTATTACAGTTCCCCCCAAATGAAGTGTATTTCGATGATATTCACATCAAACTATTCCGAATCGTGCAACAGAAACGTTTTAAGCAAAAAGCTGGTCTTCTGAAGGCGCAAAGTAAAGAATTTCTGAATGGCAAGTGTAGCGTGTGTGACATCCTATAGGATGCCTATTCACGGGCGTTTTTAAGGCCGGCAAATTCGAGAAAGAAATTTTATTACAGTTCCCCCCAAATGAAGTGTATTTCGATGATATTCAAATCAAACTGTTCCGAATCGTGTAATAGAAACGTTTTAAGCAAAAATCTGGTCTTCCGAAGGCGCAAAGTAAAGAATTTTGGAATGGCGAGTGCAGCGCGTGCGGACATCCTATAGGATGCCGATTCACGGGCGTTTTTAAGGCGGGCAAATTCGAGAAAGAAATTTTATTACAGTTCCCCCCAAATGAAGTGAATTTCGATGATATTCACATCAAACTATTCCGAATCCTGCAACAGAAACGTTTTAAGCAAAAATCTGGTCTTGCACGTGAAGGTGCAAAGTAAAGAATTTCTGAATGGCAAGTGTAACGTGTGTGACATCCTATAGGATGCCGATTCACGGGCGTTTTTAAGGCCGGCAAATTCGAGAAAGAAATTTTATTACAGTTCCCCCCAAATGAAGTGTATTTCGATGATATTCAAATCAAACTGTTCCGAATCGTGTAATAGAAACGTTTTAAGCAAAAATCTGGTCTTCCGAAGGCGCAAAGTAAAGAATTTTGGAATGGCGAGTGCAGCGCGTGCGGACATCCTATAGGATGCCGATTCACGGGCGTTTTTAAGGCGGGCAAATTCGAGAAAGAAGTTTTATTACAGTTCCCCCCAAATGAAGTCTATTTCTATGATATTCTCATCAAACTGTTCCGAATCGTGCAATAGAAACGTTTTAAGCAAAAATCTGGTCTTCCAAGGGCCCAAAGCAAAGAATTTCTGAATGGCGAGTGCAGCGTGTGTGACATCCTATAGGATGACGATTCACGGGCGTTTTTAAGGCGGGCAAATTCGAGAAAGAAATTTTATTACAGTTCCCCCCAAATGAAGTGTATGTCGATGATATTCATATCAAACTGTTCCGAATCGTGCAATAGAAACGTTTTAAGCGAAAATCTGGTCTTCTGAAGGCGCAAAGTAAAGAATTTCTGAATGGCAAGTGTAGCGTGTGTGACATCCTATAGGATGCCGATTCACGGGCGTTTTTAAGGCGGGCAAATTCGAGAAAGAAATTTTATTACAGTTCCCCCCAAATGAAGTGTATTTCGATGATATTCAAATCAAACTGTTCCGAATCGTGCAATAGAAACGTTTTAAGCAAAAATCTGGTCTTCTGAAGGCGCAAAGTAAAGAATTTCTGAATGGCAAGCGTAGCGTGTGTGACATCCTATAGGATGCCTATTCACGGGCGTTTTTAAGGCCGGCAAATTCGAGAAAGAAATTTTATTACAGTTCCCCCCAAATGAAGTGTATTTCGATGATATTCAAATCAAACTGTTCCGAATCGTGTAATAGAAACGTTTTAAGCAAAAAATCTGGTCTTCCGAAGGCGCAAAGTAAAGAATTTTGGAATGGCGAGTGCAGCGCGTGCGGACATCCTATAGGATGCCGATTCACGGGCGTTTTTAAGGCGGGCAAATTCGAGAAAGAAATTTTATTACAGTTCCCCCCAAATGAAGTGTATTTCGATGATATTCACATCAAACTATTCCGAATCATGCAACAGAAACGTTTTAAGCAAAAATCTGGTCTTCTGAAGGCGCAAAGTAAAGAATTTCTGAATGGCAAGTGTAGCGTGTGTGACATCCTATAGGATGCCTATTCACGGGCGTTTTTAAGGCCGGCAAATTCGAGAAAGAAATTTTATTACAGTTCCCCCCAAATGAAGTGTATTTCGATGATATTCAAATCAAACTGTTCCGAATCGTGTAATAGAAACGTTTTAAGCAAAAATCTGGTCTTCCGAAGGCGCAAAGTAAAGAATTTTGAATGGCGAGTGCAGCGCGTGCGGACATCCTATAGGATGCCGATTCACGGGCGTTTTAAAGGCGGGCAAATTCGAGAAAGAAATTTTATTACAGTTCCCCAAATGAAGTGAATTTCGATGATATTCACATCAAACTATTCCGAATCGTGCAACAGAAACGTTTTAAGCAAAAATCTGGTCTTGCACGTGAAGGCGCAAAGTAAAGAAATTCTGAATGGCAAGTGTAACGTGTGTGACATCCTATAGGATGCCGATTGACGGGCGTTTTTAAGGCGGGCAAATTCGAGAAAGAAGTTTTATTACAGTTCCCCCCAAATGAAGTCTATTTCTATGATATTTACATCAAACTGTTCCGAATCGTGCAATAGAAACGTTTTAAGCAAAAATCTGGTCTTCCAAGGGCCCAAAGCAAAGAATTTCTGAATGGCGAGTGCAGCGTGTGTGACATCCTATAGGATGACGATTCACGGGCGTTTTTAAGGCGGGCAAATTCGAGAAAGAAATTTTATTACAGTTCCCCCAAATGAAGTGTATTTCTATGATATTCACATCAAACTATTCCGAATCGTGCAACAGAAACGTTTTAAGCAAAAAGCTGGTCTTCTGAAGGCGCAAAGTAAAGAATTTCTGAATGGCAAGTGTAGCGTGTGTGACATCCTATAGGATGCCTATTCACGGGCGTTTTTTAAGGCCGGCAAATTCGAGAAAGAAATTTTATTACAGTTCCCCCAAATGAAGTGTATTTCGATGATATTCAAATCAAACTGTTCCGAATCGTGTAATAGAAACGTTTTAAGCAAAAATCTGGTCTTCCGAAGGCGCAAAGTAAAGAATTTTGAATGGCGAGTGCAGCGCGTGCGGACATCCTATAGGATGCCGATTCACGGGCGTTTTTTAAGGCGGGCAAATTCGAGAAAGAAATTTTATTACAGTTCCCCCCAAATGAAGTGAATTTCGATGATATTCACATCAAACTATTCCGAATCGTGCAACAGAAACGTTTTAAGCAAAAATCTGGTCTTGCACGTGAAGGTGCAAAGTAAAGAATTTCTGAATGGCAAGTGTAACGTGTGTGACATCCTATAGGATGCCGATTCACGGGCGTTTTTAAGGCCGGCAAATTCGAGAAAGAAATTTTATTACAGTTCCCCCCAAATGAAGTGTATTTCGATGATATTCAAATCAAACTGTTCCGAATCGTGTAATAGAAACGTTTTAAGCAAAAATCTGGTCTTCCGAAGGCGCAAAGTAAAGAATTTTGGAATGGCGAGTGCAGCGCGTGCGGACATCCTATAGGATGCCGATTCACGGGCGTTTTTAAGGCGGGCAAATTCGAGAAAGAAATTTTATTACAGTTCCCCCCAAATGAAGTGAATTTCGATGATATTCACATCAAACTATTCCGAATCCTGCAACAGAAACGTTTTAAGCAAAAATCTGGTCTTGCACGTGAAGGTGCAAAGTAAAGAATTTCTGAATGGCAAGTGTAACGTGTGTGACATCCTATAGGATGCCGATTCACGGGCGTTTTTTAAGGCCGGCAAATTCGAGAAAGAAATTTTATTACAGTTCCCCCAAATGAAGTGTATTTCGATGATATTCAAATCAAACTGTTCCGAATCGTGTAATAGAAACGTTTTAAGCAAAAATCTGGTCTTCCGAAGGCGCAAAGTAAAGAATTTTGGAATGGCGAGTGCAGCGCGTGCGGACATCCTATACGATGCCGATTCACGGGCGTTTTTAAGGCGGGCAAATTCGAGAAAGAAATTTTATTACAGTTCCCCCCAAATGAAGTGAATTTCGATGATATTCACATCAAACTATTCCGAATCGTGCAACAGAAACGTTTTAAGGAAAAATCTGGTCTTGCACGTGAAGGCGCAAAGTAAAGAATTTCTGAATGGCAAGTGTAACGTGTGTGACATCCTATAGGATGCCGATTCACGGGCGTTTTTAAGGCGGGCAAATTCGAGAAAGAAGTTTTATTACAGTTCCCCCCAAATGAAGTCTATTTCTATGATATTCTCATCAAACTGTTCCGAATCGTGCAATAGAAACGTTTTAAGCAAAAATCTGGTCTTCCAAGGGCCCAAAGCAAAGAATTTCTGAATGGCGAGTGCAGCGTGTGTGACATCCTATAGGATGACGATTCACGGGCGTTTTTAAGGCGGGCAAATTCGAGAAAGAAATTTTATTACAGTTCCCCCCAAATGAAGTGTATTTCGATGATATTCATATCAAACTGTTCCGAATCGTGCAATAGAAACGTTTTAAGCAAAAATCTGGTCTTCTGAAGGCGCAAAGTAAAGAATTTCTGAATGGCAAGTGTAGCGTGTGTGACATCCTATAGGATGCCGATTCACGGGCGTTTTTAAGGCGGGCAAATTCGAGAAAGAAATTTTATTACAGTTCCCCCCAAATGAAGTGTATTTCGATGATATTCAAATCAAACTGTTCCGAATCGTGCAATAGAAACGTTTTAAGCAAAAATCTGGTCTTCTGAAGGCGCAAAGTAAAGAATTTCTGAATGGCAAGCGTAGCGTGTGTGACATCCTATAGGATGCCTATTCACGGGCGTTTTTAAGGCCGGCAAATTCGAGAAAGAAATTTTATTACAGTTCCCCCCAAATGAAGTGTATTTCGATGATATTCAAATCAAACTGTTCCGAATCGTGTAATAGAAACGTTTTAAGCAAAAATCTGGTCTTCCGAAGGCGCAAAGTAAAGAATTTTGGAATGGCGAGTGCAGCGCGTGCGGACATCCTATAGGATGCCGATTCACGGGCGTTTTTAAGGCGGGCAAATTCGAGAAAGAAATTTTATTACAGTTCCCCCCAAATGAAGTGAATTTCGATGATATTCACATCAAACTATTCCGAATCGTGCAACAGAAACGTTTTAAGCAAAAATCTGGTCTTGCACGTGGAGGCGCAAAGTAAAGAATTTCTGAATGGCAAGTGTAACGTGTGTGACATCCTATAGGATGCCGATTCACGGGCGTTTTTAAGGCGGGCAAATTCGAGAAAGAAGTTTTATTACAGTTCCCCCCAAATGAAGTCTATTTCGATGATATTCACATCAAACTGTTCCGAATCGTGCAATACAAACGTTTTAAGCAAAAATCTGGTCTTCCAAGGGCCCAAAGCAAAGAATTTCTGAATGGCGAGTGCAGCGTGTGTGACATCCTATAGGATGACGATTCACGGGCGTTTTTAAGGCCGGCAAATTCGAGAAAGAAATTTTATTACAGTTCCCCCCAAATGAAGTGTATTTCGATGATATTCACATCAAACTGTTCCGAATCGTGCAATACAAACGTTTTAAGCAAAAATCTGGTCTTCTGAAGGCGCAAAGTAAAGAATTTCTGAATGGCAAGTGTAGCGTGTGTGACATCCTATAGGATGCCTATTCACGGGCGTTTTTCAGGCCGGCAAATTCGAGAAAGAAATTTTATTACAGTTCCCCCCAAACGAAGTGTATTTCGATGATATTCAAATCAAACTGTTCCGAATCGTGTAATAGAAACGTTTTAAGCAAAAATCTGGTCTTCCGAAGGCGCAAAGTAAAGAATTTTGGAATGGCGAGTGCAGCGCGTGCGGACATCCTATAGGATGCCGATTCACGGGCGTTTTTAAGGCGGGCAAATTCGAGAAAGAAATTTTATTACAGTTCCCCCCAAATGAAGTGAATTTCGATGATATTCACATCAAACTATTCCGAATCCTGCAACAGAAACGTTTTAAGCAAAAATCTGGTCTTGCACGTGAAGGCGCAAAGTAAAGAAATTCTGAATGGCAAGTGTAACGTGTGTGACATCCTATAGGATGCCGATTCACGGGCGTTTTTAAGGCGGGCAAATTCGAGAAAGAAGTTTTATTACAGTTCCCCCCAAATGAAGTCTATTTCTATGATGTTAATATGAAACTGTTTTGAATCGTATAATAGGAGCGTTTAAACAAAAAAAACTGATCTTATGAAGGCGCAAAGTGAAGAATTCTTGAATGCGCCATTTTCTCATAGACCTTAACGCGACTTGTTTACCGCTTAAAAATTTTGCATAAACATTGTCTTAGATTTATCTTGGGACGACTGTAATACCCAGGAGAGATTGGAAACAATGGTTGTGCAAAATTTTGGGCCAGTTCATTACGGTCTATGAGAAAATGGCGATTTCAAGAATTCATCCAGGGTCAAGTCATTTTTAGGGCGGGGAAATTTGAGAAATACATTTGATTACGGTGCGGGTAAAAGTAACTTTATTTCAATATTAATAAGACCTAAAAGATCGGAATCGTATAATAGAAACGTTTAAAATGAAAATCTGGTCTTAATTCTAAATGCGCAATCATCCGAAATCATCTGGGCCAATGACATACATGATGGGATGGACTGGTAATTTTAAGGGTGGGCAAATTCAAGAGAGAGACTTGATTACTGTTTGCCTAAAATGATGTCTATTTCAGGATGTTAAGATCAATGTGATTTGAATCGTAAAATAAAAATTTTTTGGCAAAAGATGTTGTTCTGAAGGCGCAGTAGCGGCGGTTAAGAGTTGATCCCTTGGTTAAGCTGCACCTTCGGGCCTTCGGCCCTCTTTACTTTATTGTCGCAAATGCAGGGAGCGTATTAATTAACTGCAGAGATGAGTTAACTGACCTTGAGTATTGAGCATTAAACTTTCCTACACAAGTGAAAAAGTCAAAACTTCTGACATCCCCTTCAGCTTGTTATCCCTGCTCCCAGAGAAATATGGAATACTTTCCATAATGTGCACGAAACACCACTATTTGACAGCTGTACTTGATGGCAGTTAGTGAAAATATACTGATTTCACTGAGCGCATCGAAATGCTGGACTATTCCTCGTAGTAAACGGGTCTAAAGGCCGCAAATGTGTAGTTGCCCCAATATTCCATGACAAATACAATAAAACCCACAAGTAAGATCCTGCAGTTTCTCACTGAGATAGCCTTAACAGATTCCTCATTTGAAATGTGCATACCAGATTAGCATTTTTCTGTATATTTTAGTGGGGATAACTCCGTAATCTTTTAACTTTTAAATTTTTACCTTTCATAAATTTTAGAATTTAGCGAATTACAAATTCACCTTATGATACCATGTATAAACTCATTTTTTAATTTTTTTCCTATTTTTTCAGTCTCCCCAATTAGCTTTTATAAGCTAAAGACATCGACACTTAAATAAAGTTGTTATGTTATGTTGTTATGTTATACCAAAAAGAAGAACTGAATTGCTGACTTGTCCAGTTACACTCAGTTCTAACAGTTTTACACTCTTGGCACCTAAGTCTCCACAACATTTCCCCAAAGTTGACTTATCTTCAGTATTTGCCCAAGAGCACAGAATGTCTTTTTATAGATTTTAGAGTATTAATAAGAACCTCTTTCAAATTTTAGCCTAACATGTTCTTAAAACTCAGGTTCTTTATAGTCGTGCGGGTTTTAGTGAAAACACGCACTGATTTATACATTAACTCATCGAAGTGCCCACTGAACATTTCCAAATTATTAGAAAGTGGGATCCAAGCAGGGAACATAACTGCCCTTTTGAAACACAATGCTTTCACGGCAGTTCGTCGCATTCGTTAAAGAGATGGGATCTAGGGGTCAAAAATGTCTATTTGGCCCATATTTCATGCAAACTGGTGGAAATACACTTATTTCACAGCAACTCACACAGTAAATTTTTAGGGAGTTATTGTAACTCAAAAAATAGGGTCAAAATGTTAGGCACAGGATAACCCCTTTAATGGGGTTACTTTAACTCCAAATTTAGGATCATTTTTACTCCTAAAAAAGATTTCCGGTTTTAACTCCCAGTCTGGAGTTAAAATAACTCCGAAATTTTACTCCTTACATGAGTTGTTTTTACTCTTATTGGAACTACTTTAACTCTGTTCAAGTCAGAGTAACAATTTTAGGTACAGGATAACTCCTTTTTGGGGGATATTCCAACTCCTCAATATCTGGGTGATTTTTACTCCTAAAAAAGAGTTCTTTAAACTCCTTTTTGGAGTTAAAAAAACTCCCCCCCCATCGCCCCCTTCCCTTCCCCACAAAAAAAAACTCCACTGTAAGGAGTTAAATTAACCCCACTAGACTAGAGGAGTTATTATGGAACTGCCGGACTATATACCTTTTTTTAAAAAAAAATTGGAAGATCGCAGCCATTCTCAGGGCCGGAATTCGAAATGCGTATTGGCCATAATATTCCAAAAATTCTAGGGGAAACATCTGATTTCACAGCAGCTCATCAAAGTACCAAACTATTTCGCGATTATTAGAAGATGGGATCCAAGGACCCAAAAATGCAAATTTAGCCCTATATTTCATGGAAACTAGAGGAAAGGCCCTGATTTCACTTCACTTCATCGAAGTAACGGAATATGTTTCACTCACATAAAATACAATAATTTCACAGCAACAAACACTGGCAAAAACAATTCATTCAAGTGCTGGACTATATTTCACATTTATTGAATACCGTAAGAAATTAGTTTTTGGCACCATATTTTCTGCAAACTATATTGATCAGAGTGACATACACTACTTATTTCGAAGCAATTTATTCAAGTCCCGGACTATAAAACTCCGTAGTGGCAGAAGCCGATTAGCTCCTGGTAGTGGCCCACACTCCAAATTGAAGGCCGACGAAAATTCCGCATATTTACCCGGATATTCAATGAAAAATAGTAGGAAACACTCATTTCACCGCAACCCGTTCAAGAGCAGGGGTTTTCCCCATGCATCACAAAATGGGATCTGCAGGCCAGAAATGTGTAATTTCCATATAATGTCTCCTTCATGTTTTTAGAAAAACACTGATTTCACAGCAATTCATTTGAGTGATGGACTATTTCCCAGTCCGACGAAAATGGGATCTAAGGACAAGAATGCGTCGTGGCCCAATATCTCATGATAGAATAGTGTCAATAGTGAAAACACAGTAATTTCACTGCAACCCCAAGACTCCTCATATTAAACCGGATCCGTTCCAGGAAAAGCAGTGGAACACCACACATCCATGGGAATTAGTGAAAATACTTGTTTCACAGCACTTCATTCCAGCGCCTCGGACTATTTCGCATTTCGTTTAAAATGGGATGCATTATGTGCATTATCATAAAGTATTTTTTTGCAAACTAGAGGAAACATAGCGATTTCACGGCAGCTCATCATCGAAGTCCCAAACTATTTCGCAAGAAATGCGTAGTGGCCCATATTTCATGAAAAGTAGGGGAAACATACTAATTTCACGTCAACCCAAAAATTCTACACATTTACCCGGGACACTAGCTGACGGCAACTTGCGTATTGAATGGCTGGACCTTCCCCCCCACCATTTGGAGATCAGATATCCAGAAATGTACGCAACACGACATCTCTTTAGAGTCAAGTTTGAATTTTCGCCAACCCTTAGGTGATTTGTCGTCACATTTGCCATTTTTGAATTGTTGTATGCAAATTCGCCATTTTCGTCGAATCCCCACTTTTCAAGAAAGCCCTGTCAACATCTCAATAGAAATTTTGCCAACCATATCGCTATTTTTGTCAAAATCGCCACTTTTTAAGGGGCCCCTTTAAACCGCCATCTCTGTAGAATTTTCACTAATTAAATCTTTGGCATTCGCCATTTTTGAATTATTCGTCATTTTCTTCAAATTACCCTCTTACCCTCTGGCGAATTTTTCCAGATTTTCTATTGACGCCTTTGCTGGTTCCTTTCTACACATAAGTGTGCATTAGGACATGGGATCTAAGGACAAGAAATAACATCCCGAATACCTGAAAAATGCACTGTCAATATGGTCCAAATGACATTCTGTTTCGCTATCCAGTGCATCATCCTCTGTTTCCGAGAGTAGCAGTCAGACATTTCCTTAGCCTCACCCTTATCGCTGTTGAACGGAATACTCATAGATTAAAAAATAAAGTTTGGGAGGGAGATGTCTTCAATATGACATTGCAAAAATGTTTGACCTTTAGAAGTTGCCCCTCAAAAGGCAACAGTTTCATTTTCCGAAATATATTTCACTTTCTCCTTTAAGGGCAAACTGAAGGAGATACCGTGGCGTCTATGAAAGGCTGGTTTTCACTAGCGACGGAGTCGGAGTCGGAGTCGTAATCAGAAGCGTAGAGCTTATGATCTAGTGAAAGCAGCGTTCCAATTCCGCTTACGACTCCGTCGCTTATGTTCCGCTTATGATCTAGTGAAACCAGATTGTCGGAGTCGCAAGCAGAAGCAGAAGAACAAAACCAATCTCAAAGCGTGGGAATGTGCATTGTGATTGGCTTATCCTTCCGCTTCTGCTTCCGACTCCGACCATCTGGTTTTCACTAGATCATAAGCGGAACGTAAGCGACTGAGTCGTAAGCGGAGTCCGAAGAAATGGAAACGTTCTCATTCTTCTGACTCCGATTCCGTCGCACTTTTGACTCCGCTTACGACTCCCACTTTTTGATTTTCACTGGGTCATAAGCGCTCTTACGATTCCGACTCCGTCGCTAGTGAAAACCAGCCTTAACGAAGCGGAAAACGTCGCGTGCTGCCCGTTTAAATGCTCAATTAAGGCTGGTTTTCACTAGCGACGGAGTTCGGAGTCAGAGTCGAAGTTGTAAGAGCGCTTGTGACCTGGTGAAAATCAAAAATCAGAATCGTACGCGCAGTCACAAGCGCGATGAAATCCGAAGTTTCCCTTTTTCTTCCGAGCCTCCTTACGACTCCCGTCGCCTACATTCCGGTTATGTTTTAGTGAAAACCAGATTGTCGGAGTCGGAAGCAGAAGCGGAAGGTTAAAACAGTCACAATGCACGTTCCCACGCTTTGTGATTGGTTTAGTTCTTCCGCTTCTGATTCCGACTCCGACAATCTGTTTTTCACTGGATCATAAGCGGATTGTAAGCGACGGAGTAGTAAGCGGAATCAGACCGATGTTTTCAACACATCATAAGCTCTACGCTTGTGATTACAACTCCGACTCCGTCGTCGCTAGTGAAAACCAGCCTTTACGTTCCTCGTATTTTCTGAAGCAAGGTTCCGTCTTTTTTAGCTCGATGCAGGAGATGCATCTTACAAATCGATAGCTCTACGTCAGGGGCGGATCCAGAATTTTTTTTTAATTAGGGGGTCCAATCTTTGATTCGGAATCCTGAAACGAACAGATCATCTGAGAGTACTCTCCCAAAATTACATATTTTTCAAATATGCCTGAAATTTAATCGTGCCAAAAGGTACCGCGCGTTTCAATGAAAAATCAACAAGTTGAATCGTGATATGCGATCCTACAGATGCAAAACTTTCAGGGTCAAACGAGTAATAAAAAACAAACAACCACAGGCCTGATGGGGGCGGGTCCGGACCCCGCCCCGACCCTCTCACTGGAACTCATTTTGCAGCCAAAGGTCTGCTTTCGGGTAATTCACTTGATGGAACCCCAAAGGAACGTGGGAATGGCCATACCACGCTTAAAATGTAAGATTAAATACAAAAGTGTGCCGCCTTTGCCAGTTTCGGCAGCCCTTTTTGTAGTGGAATTTTACACAATGTAAAAAAACACATCAATGGAATATAATTTGTCCCCAAGTTAAGTGTATGCATTTGCCTTTCATAACAATATTTGGTTTAAAATTACACCCACAACCCAACAACATTTTCTACAATTTGAAATATGGCATCAATCTAACAGTTTGTGTATAAAACGGTGAATCACACAGAACTACAAAATATAGAAAATAACCTTTTTTACTCACTATAATTAACTTGTCCTCTACCAATAACTTGAAACAAAGTTGACGGTTGACATCTGAAACTTGCATTCAATACAGTTCATCAAAGGAAGGGCACAGAAAAAAATGGGCCTTAAAAAGTCTGCATTCCTTGTTTGTTTTGCTTTGCTTTTCAATCTTATGAAACGCTTCTTACGAAATCTGTACCCCTAATCCTCAAAAGAAAGAAGAAATGCTTCGAGAAGCAAGGGACACAGTTTTAATTGAAAACTCATTTACTCATCTTTTTGCCATATAATGCAATATAATATTATTGTTTTGACAATATATAAGACTTGGGCACTAGTTTTATGAACTTTGGGTGCCTTTGATAAGGGTGAGACAAATGCAGCTTCTTTGCATACTTATTTCAATCACATAAACAGTGACTGTAGCAGACATATAAATTACATGAAAGTATTAAAGCCAGCCCACAGATAGCTAGCCTCCCATGCAGACATTCCTAGGCCATGCTCTTTGAGGAGGATTGTGTGATGAGCCACAAGAAAGCCTGCATCAGTGGAAGGCTAACTGATAGCAAAACTTGGGTTTAGTAAAAGGCCACTAAGGATTTAAGCTGTGAGCTGGCTTCCAGAGAGTAACAATGGAATCTTCTCTGTGACAGTGCATTCTTTCACTTCCTCTAATCCCTTGTCTTTTGTAGCAGACACCTGCATGTAAAATGAAATTGGGAAAAGAGATTTATTTGATCATTGCTTTTAGAGAATATTACTTGCACATTTGTCTGGGTTACACATGTAGTAGTATTGAATTCTTAGTTTTATTTTTTTCTTGTTAACAGCTTTGTTTTCACACCATCATGTATTATGTTTTTTGCTTCCCCAAAGTTTCACTTTGCAATTCAGGAACTTAAATTCATCCTGTAAATTGTGAGCATTTCTCTCCTCTAAATACCTGCTTTGTTGGGATCTGCATATAACACAGGTTGGAAATGCTAAGAATATTATTTTGAATTTTAAACCATACTCAATATCACCACTCCCTGTGTGTATGGATTAATAATTTTATAGTGAATGTTTCTGACATCTAAAAGTACCGTAAGTCAGCCTGATATCTCCCAATAACACTGCCTGGTCGGTGGACAAGGGCCATGGTGGAAACAATAAACACAGCTAAAAGATTTGGTATCAAAAATTAAAAGCTATAGATATTCAATTGCAAAATAACTCAAAACATTTCATTTGGCATGGTTGGTGTGGAACCCCTAAGATTAAGCTTGGTAAATTTAAAAAAACTTGGCTTCACAGCTGCAAACATGTTCATTGACAACCACTTGAAATACTACAGGCTAGAACTGAAAAAGACAAAAGAGTAATATCTAAGTTATGTGCTGTAAGAGTACAAACATAATTATATAAAACACAGTAATCAATGCACATTAAGCAGATGTGTAAATCAACTACATTGAACTTAAAGAAATCATTGACGAGTGGCTTTATAGCACCACATTTTAAATCATAAGAATAACAATAAATACAAAAGAGGTGAGGGAGAGCAGGATGTTACATGAGCACTGATGTCTGTCAAGTACTTTGCAGGGTTCTTGGTAAGATGAAAGAGTACTACGGTTGAAACCCTCTAAAACGGCCACCTTGGGGACAGAAGAAAGTGCCCATTGTAGAGAAGCAGCCCTTGTAGAGAGGTTGAAACAAGAGTGAATGTATGGACTGTCCGCCAAAAAATGGCCGTTATAGAGACGTGGCCATTGTGGAGTGATTCGTGGAGTTTCAACTGAATATATAATTCTCCTCCTCGTAAACAAAAATTATGGAATGCCATACTCATGAGGAAGTGACTGGCTGAGTAAGGAACCACATCAGACAAGTTGCAATCTAGCAGTCCTTGGTTCGGGTCCTGCTGTGGTCACTTGCCTGATTTGTTCTTAGTCGCAGCCTTGATTGTTAATAGTTTTAATGGTTGCCTCCAGTGCCAGTTGGGGTTTTTAATCCTGTTACGTTCTAATTGTTGAATTATTTGTTTCCATAATGATTTGCGTGGAGTGCCTGTAGAAATAGCTGGAATGCATGCTAAGTGCACTTTTCACAATAACAAATCTGGAACATAAAGCATGAAACAAGGATCAAAGATGCATTTTTTAGCCCTATATTTCATGCAAACTAGTTTAAATAAACTTGTTTTTCAACCATTTCGAAAGGAAATCTACTGAAAATGACAAACCAACAATGGGGGCAGCTTTCAATGCATACATTGGTTTCAAATGGGATCTGTAAAACCATAGAATAACGGGAAGTAAGGAAAATCTTTGTGATGGTGGTGCACACAAGCTAATACAGAAACCAAGGTTTGTTTAGAGGCAGCTGGGGATGCACGTGATACTAAGGCAGGTATATATTTATAAAATCATGTTAGACTGTCTGCTGCAACTTCTATATATAAAATTTAATAAGATAATAATTTGAAAAAAAAGCAAAATGATAAATTGTAATGACTGACAAATAACGTAGTTGACAAAGGGTTCTGAGAGCAGTTTCTAGCCAAGTTTAAGCAACTTCAATGAGATGCAGTTAGAGCAGCTGAGAATGCAAATGCTTTCTCTTAGTACCTACCACGTACATTTTTTCAAAAATAAAATAATTAGCATGAAGTTTAAAAGCATAAGGGGGATTGACTGGATTTACAACAATTTGATTTGAAGTGCGGGTTGAACAGGTAGAAATCTACATTTTTAATCAACTCGTACTCAGTATTGCAACTTATATTATACCAACTTACGTACCTAGATCAGGGACCAACTTAGTCTTAAGTACCTTAAGGATTTCCAGACGATGAAAAATATCTAATTTGCCGTGAAATTGCACAAGATTCGCAAACCTTTGCTGTTGCACTGCAGTCCAAGCAACGACGAAGAATACCAGCTTCGGAGTCAGAGGTGACACCTGTTGTTCTTTGAAACGAACCTTCTTTAGAAAAGTTGTCGTTAGAGCAGGTTGTCGTAACTTGGCACACACATCGTCTACCCTTGACAGTCTTTCTATAGCGAAGATCAGTGTTAAGCTTAAGTTTACATGTAGAGGTTTTCTGGCTCAATTATCGCTGAAAGCGAGGTTCGAAAGCGAAATGGTAAGCTGCATAATACCTGCCAAAGATCAGTCTACGTCGTAAATCGTCGCGATCCTGTTCACCGGCATCATCCGAAATGCTCGCACTAAGCTGTTCTTCTCCTGCTTACCGCAGTGTCCGCCCGCAACCAAACGAACTGGTCTGTTAAAGTGTCAACAGCATCAGAAAAGATAGGTAAAAAACTAAGGCAAAAATAATGAACAAAATAAAGGCTTTCACAACTTACCGGCCCATTAAATACTGCTTTGTACGTTAAAATATAACCTCAGTGACCGCGTGCTGCAACAGATTTTATAATAAGACCGATAACCGTGCAATTACAACACATTTTATCCGTCATCCTGTACCATCTGGTACAGTACTTTCTCAGTCGTACTATAGCACGTGAGCACGTACTATGGCGGGTGATACCCTAGCCTGTGCCAGGCTCTCAGATAGTATTCTTGGTTTGCAACCACGTCACAAGGCGGCCATGTTGGGGGTCAAAACAAAAGAATATTTCCTCGAAGAATTTACATGAAAATAGAAATGCTTTTGTTCTTGACCACCAACATGGCCGCCGTGACGTCACGAGCAAAGCGAAAATAAGACGCGCGCGACTTGGGAAAGGGGGCGGTGGCGGCGGCCCCGTCTCTCCCCAGCTCCCGCGCGTTTTTTTCATTTCTTTTTACCGGTGTCACAGCGTTTTGGGCATCCCCGCGTTTTGGGCATCCCCATTCCCATATCCCTAGCGTTTTGGGTATCCCCTTCTCATATTACTGCAGCGTTTTGGGCATCCCCCGGTACCCTCCCGGGATGCCCAAATCCCTAGCGTTTTGGGCATCCCCTCCAAAACAATTTGAGATTTCGCGGGAAAATCGAAAACCTTTTAGAGATGGATTCCGCTAAATATACAAATCTGTTCCGGTATCTTAAAAATAAGGTTTATCCGGAAGGTTTTACAAAGCAGGACAAAACAATTCTTAGAAAATTCGCCAAAAAGTTTGAGTATGACTCAAAATTAGTGTCCTTGTTCTACGTGGCCAAGGAGAAGGATGGCACAGCGCTTCGACGTCTTGTTATCGCCGAGGAAGATAAAGCGAGGGTCTTCGAAGAGTGCCACTCTGCTCCTTTTTCTGGACACGCCGGCCGCAATATCACTCTGAGGAAAATCAAAGAGCGGTTTTACTGGCCTGACTACTACAAGGACACGATAGAAATGGTTACAGTGTAGTTACAAATGTTATTTATTTGCCAATTGATCGTGTTTTTAAAACACCCGCGTTGATAATCGAAAACATACGCTAAATTTCTTCTGTTGTCAGTGTTCTTTGAAAGGGTGAGACATAATTGCATCTTTTGGTAGGTTGTCAAAGGGCATTGTAAACCGGAGTCCTTGTTTGTTATTATTTTATGTGAAGCCAAAGATCAGAAGTTATATTTCTGAAGGGTCGAGATGACAGATTTTCTGTCAGTTGCCTAAGTGTGGCCTTGAACATCCATTTGTGTCACGCCGGCTGTCACGCCCGTGCGCCAAGCACAACATATCTTCTAGTGACCATCATTGGAGCGTCCATTTATCATAACTACATAACTACAGGATTTTTTTCTAGACATGCCTTTCCCTTGCACTGTAGGTTTTTTTTTTTTTTTTTGGGGAATTGTTACCCCACCTCCGGTTATTTCTGATGATTTGAGGCCTCTTTAATTGTGTGACAGCCTTTCCTGTATCAAGTAGCGCTGCGGGGTTAAGTTGTACAGGCCTCAAATGTCATGAATACTATGAATGCAACACCGCAAAACGCAGTTTTATTCATGTTTACCTTTTGATTCCTTTGTTTAGTATTCTTGTTTTTGGCTGTTTGGAAGCAGACGATCGCAGCTGCCGGCGATTGCAGCATTGCTCGCTTGTAAACAGTTCTATTACATAAAATTGAAAGCTTTGCAAACAATGAAGTGTCGTGCATCGAAGCCATGTTATGCGGTTGTAAATTTCAGTTTCGTCATGTTTTGAGTCAACGTTTACTGCCGATGGGTTTTTTTCTGCGCAATTAACCCGGCAAAAAGTGTCGGACGATATAATTCTAACATGCATCAACACTATTTAGCCGTAAATTCGTGATTAACAATCCCGACTTTTCCCCAGTCTGAAATAATTTAGGCAAAGTCGAAGTGATCAGCGTTTTGGGCATCCCCCACCGGGGATGCCCAAAACGCTAGGGATATGGGAATGGGGATGCCCAAAACGCGGGGATACCCAAAACGCTGTGACACCGGAACGACTTTTCACCACTATCTCGGAGCCTGGAACAGGCTAGTGATACCCGGTAATTTGGGTATCATTTTTACGGGTGATACCCAGTACCCTTTGAGTGAATCGGGTGATCGTTGTGGGGTCACGAGTCGACGCTTCTGGCCAGCGGTCTATTGAAAGAAATCTGATCCGATGTTTTTTTTTCGGGCGAGAATCATTCATGTCAATGTCCAATGTCTTCCTTCAACCGAGTTCATTACGCCCAAGAATTACGGTTTTTTTTCTCAAAGGACTATTATCTGGCGCTATAAAATGTAGCTAACAGATTCAATTCTTGGCACAATGATTAGCCTCGCGTTTAGTATTTTCTTGGACATGAAAAATATCGAATCTTGGACATGAAAATATTGGGTGGAATGGCGGACTGACGGAATGAAGGAACGGAATGATGGAATACATGGAATATTCTAAAATACGGAATATACGGAATACTCTAAAACGCAGAATATATCTATCTATCTATCTATCTATCTATCTATCTATCTATCTATATCTATGTATATTAGTAAGAGAAAAATCGTTTAAAAAGGGTATACATGTATACAGTCGACTCCAATAACTCGAACCCTAGCTACTGACTCAAACCTCGTGCTAACTCGAAGTAATACTAATTTTTGTTTCTCTTCAGATCATTTCTATATAATTTTACCCTCATTAACTCGAACCATGTTTTAAGCGCGTGACAAGTAAAAGAATTGACTTACCGTAATGATTCGATTTAGCGCCCAGGCGCTTATTTACTTTTGGTGCCTCTAGGGAGGACGCTTATTCTGGACAGGGCGCTTATTTCTTTTTTGAGAAAAAACCAAATGTTAAAAAAAGAACTTTGATATTTATTTAAAAACGAACAACACTTGAAACTGTAGCAGTAACAAATACTGACGGTGAATGCTCGGTTAACGCGAGGGACTTACCTTGAAACTTGTTGGGCACTTTGTCGATGGAACTTTCCTTCCTTATATTCACCTTTCTTAAAAAAGCTCGCAGTCAAAACAAATTAAAGTGCAAGTCGATTAAGGTAATGGATCAAGGAGACTGGAAAACGGACTTATTGTCCCTGGATCCTTCCTCGCCAGAACGACCAGCCGAGCAATCTCCACAAAATTTGAAGAAGAGATCATTCCTTTGAAGACTTTGAAGACTCTGGTAAATCTAAAGCAAGCGACCGGACAAATTTAGGCACAGGTGCGGCCCCCATTAATTGGTAGTACAATCCTGTCACGCTTAAGTTTACAATTCTTTTTTTTTTTAGAACAGCCGTTTTATGAAAGTTATCCGAAATTAGATTCCCTTGATACCGGACCCTTCACCCGTCAAGATCAGGGCTTTCAAAACCGTCATAAGGTCTATAGTGTGGCTTAAGGCAGTACGAAAATTGAATTTTTAATATTGCCTCTGCTTTTTCGTCAGTCCAGTTCAAATCAAATACAGAATATTCTGTAAATTCAGTGTTTTAGAGTATTACGTATATTCCGTATTTTACAACTGATTGCATGTATTCCGCCATTCCGCCGAATAGGGTCACCCAAATATAATATTGGGGAGGACATCATAAAAAAATATAGGAGACCGGTAAGACTTTTAAATCGATGAAAGTGCCTCACTCATTTTGCAACTTCATTTTATAATATGCTTCATAATTTGTTTCCACAATAATATTTATGATATTTAGATGATAACCAATGCACAACGCACAACTTGTTACATTACCGATTGGACAGCATACCATGCACTCAGACTCTTGCGCAGGAAAGTTACAGAATGAAATTATTTTTTGCTGCACTCAGTCACATTCCTTTACACTGAAACCTTGGCTAAAAGGTCTCTTTTCAGATCTGTAGATTTGTAAGGTATTTCGAAATACCCGCACATGTCTTTCAACACTAACATTGAAAGATGAAAGTTTGTTGCTGTGATAATTATGACAAAGATTGTAAACATCAAATATAATTGGATGTTTTAAGCCCAAATATTCTATCACCTCTTCAACAGCATGGAGGGGGAAATGGGGGCTTACGGTATTGAGCTTTTTTTTCATGCGATATTTCGGTAATTTGGATTTTAAAGTAGGGTATTGCGGTAATATCATTTAGCCCTGCGATAGGCGGTATTTCTTCCTTTTGGTTAACGGTCTTCGGTAAAAGAAGATCACGGTATTGTGGTACTGTTCATTGCCCTCTCCTGTTTCATGCTAGCCTGCGTAGCAGGCGTTTGGATGACCCCTCGCGTGTCTCCCTCACGCGCGCCCGTTCTCTCTCGCGCCCACTTCTTCCAAGCGCCTGCTACGCAGGCTAGTTTAATGCTCGTCAGTATTTTTAAGACTTTAGATTAATGGTAAATGATTACCATTACACAATTTCTGACAGATAATCTGTGATGAAATTGGTAGGGTATCTTTTTCGTTCGTTGTACCGATCAGTTCGAGGTCGTCTCACGTTTCCTCGCAAAATTAAACAGAAGCCCATCAATGATGGACTCCTGAATTAAATTAAATTGATTAAGTACCGCAATACCGTGAGAAAAATTGGTAAATACCGAAATACCGTGTCAAAAATCGACGAAATACCGATACTGCATTTATTTTCGGTATTGGGTACCTACCAATGTCCCCCCTAGCATGGCGTTGCTCTCCAACTTCGTCACCTTTCTTCAGGTCCGCTGACCCCTACACGCGCTGACCCGTAATGTCCGTTGGAATGTATGTAACGAAATACAAGCAGCCCACCTTCAAAGTACTTGGAGACTAGCTGAGGCTGAATTCACCATCATTAATAGGAAAAACATAAAACTGTTTCACTTCACGATTTCTGGTGATAGAAAGACTGTTTTTTTTCAACTTATATTTCACGTATTTGTTTGGATCCCGCTGCAGTTCGGAAAAATGAACGCTGTCACGCGACAACATTTTCAAGATTCAACTCTCCTTAGCAGATGGTAATTTCGAGTTATTCTCTTTTTCTGCGAATCTTTCATTTTCCTTTCTCTTTTAATTCTATATAATTCTATTTAGGATGGTTATGAGCGCCTAGCAAGGCTTAAAGTGGCGTTTACGACGCTATCCTTGGCCATATTGGCAACAGAGAAGTGTTTCGCCGAAGTGGCAACTTAACGGTAAATACGGTAACTTTGAACGGTTTTTACAACGTCAGTATACTTTGGCCGAAAAATGTTTTTCCGAAAACGTGATGTATATCCCTCCAATGTCTGATTCATCACTGTGATTGCTTTCAGCAGTGTTGGACTTTTGAGAAATTATTGTTTTAAAATCAACTCCAACGCTCCATCTAATTTAATATGCAATATTTGAAAATTTATTTTTTATTCCCTTCGGCAATTTTTCGATGTTTATCGAATGATATTGCATTAAGAGGCCTTTTTCTTCATCACTGTGTGGTTTTCTCGCTATTTTGCGTTGCGATAGTGATTTCTGAACCGTTTTTTGCGAGAGCTTATTTTAGGCCTGATTTTGCTGCTATCAGACGGAAAAAGTTTGCGGCTCGATATTTTTGGTTTAAAGCGAAACTGAAACAAAAGAAATTCATTTTTGAATAGTATTCGGTAACCTCTACTTGGGAGATAAAAATCGGCCGATTTTATTTTTTAGCCGGAAATCGTCGGTCGTTTCTTAGGGGCAGGGCCTCTTAAACATGAACAAGGTACAATTGTTGCCTTGTCCCCAGTCGCTTGGGAGCAGCATGGGTACCCTGTGGTGCTTGTAAGCGCCTGACGCTGTGAGGAAGCGATCATAACCTACTAAATCTTCGGCTTTGGAATTGCCTGTTAGTTCCAAGGCTCTGTAAGGGTATTCTTCTCTGTCAATTCGTTGTCGAACTCTGGTGACGCCAAACTTTTCATAGGCATAAGGGTAATACTTCAGACTTCCATTGTAATTAGTGGAATTCATGAGTCCGATAATGACTTTGACGGGAACCTTGTTCAAGAAGACATTGTCCTGAGACCAACGAGTGCTGTTTTCATCGAACGAATACGTCTGGATTTCACTTCGAACTACAGGGTAGCGGACTTTTTTGGTTTCACTCAAACTTCTTTCTTTTTGTAGCCTGGAATACACAGAGGCATTGCGAGTGACTTTTTTCATCCAGAGTGTGACAAACAAATCATTGTCTCCCAGTGTTGGAATCTTTTTGTTGACTGTCGTAGTTGCGTCTGGGGTGCCAAACAGAAACGTGTTTCTGTCATTCAAATACAATTCCAAATCAATGTGTACATTAGGTACCAAACATTTGCCTGTTCTGAACACCGCGATGTGAGGTTTGATGATAAAGGTATGATACGCTTTGCCGAGTAAGCGACTGGTGAGTGCTTTCACGCCTGTTTTTCCACTCCATGCTGCTGGGTTAGGTTCATCATCATTGGCCGCATTGGTAGGAGTTAACTCTTCCTTGACATTGAGCTCATTCACCCATCCTTGAGCAGCCAAAGTCGTTTCTCCTTCTTGACGATTAAAATTCTGTAGGGTTTCTAGGTAAGCTTTCTGGTGATAGGCATTGCTTTGTTCTGTCATCAACACTCCATTGAAAGACACATTCATTTGATTAAAGAGAGAATGACCAAAAGTGTTGACGCAATAGACAAATTTGGTATTATTAGCATCCGAAGGCGCGCCCTCTGCACTAGAAATACCTTGTGTCCCTGCAGTGTTCAGTCGCACTTTGATTTCTAGCTTGGTTTCATTTAAATCATAATAATCATCCCCTGCTGGTACAGTAAAAAGAATAGGTCGTGTTCCAGTATTAGCTGGTTTGAAAGGAATCCACCGTTTGGCTTCATAGCTATAGTCAATGTCGGGAATGTCAAACAGATTCAGCGACATGTTGACGGACTGATAACTTAACGCCGTTTGCGTCGTCTATTTATACGTTTCCGTCCTTTGTTTTTCCAAGGGTAGATAACTGGATGCATTTTCCCTCCTTTTTGTTTTCTTATTCTTCTGAGAATCCATGGATCTATTTCATACCGTTTATAATTAGTGAATCCCCATGGGTTGGGAGGATCTCGAAAAATAGTGCCTCCCCGTTGATAACTAAGAAGGTGAACCCTACAGGTCGTTGATGTCTTATGCGAGATTGTGATTTCTGTCCTTGTCTCATGGTTTACATCCCTAAAATGTCTTTCACATGCTGTCGTTTCTTTTTATAGCTTTGTTTGGCTTTGCTTTTCACAGCCAGACCAATAGCCGCTGGTATTTTACGTTTGAGTCCTCTTTTTAAAACTTCTCCTGAAGCTTTTAAGGCTTCGGAGGCTGACGCCCCTTTTTCATAAGCATGTAATCCATGCCCAATCGAGCGTACTACTCTTGGTCCCGCTAATTTTACCAATTCTTGCATAAAACCACTCCCGTGCATACTGGGGGTATGATAACGCGTCAGTGATCCTCTTAACATGTTGTTTGTTGTAGTTGTGATGTTTCCATAATACAGGGTCTCTTTTATACTTGTTGAAAACCAAGGGTAATGATGGTTTTGCCTGGGGATAAGACCAACAAGGAACCATCTGGTGTAGCCAACGACACTTCAATGCTTTCAATGTGTTGATTTCGAACTCGAATCCATTCACGATGGTAAGGTTCTATGGTCGCTCTCCCTTCTCCTTTTCTTTCTAATTCCACTTTTCTTAACAGCGAATGTCGTTGTGATCCTACAATGGTGGATTCTACAGCATCGCAATAAATCATGACCGTTTGTTTTACGGTTCCCACATGCGTATTAAACAGGAAAATTCAGATTTTGAAAATACCAATCCACAGTACGCGTGAGATACAGATACGATTGACCATTCTCTTGTTTGACTTTGAATAACGAGTTTCCTCCTAATAAATCTAATGGACTAATGCTCACAAAATGCTCTCCTAGCCATTGGTACTTATCATTGCTTTTGACGGGTGGAGTGGATGTCGTATAAGTGGTTGTGGGTAAGACAAAGTCTAAATTGGGTCCTAATTGGTATTGGTTGTTTTTGTCTTTGAACAATAAACCAAACTTTTCCGCAAAATCCACATGTATCCCCGACAGAGGAAAGGGGGTGAATTTTTAGCTGTCTGTCACGAGCAAACCCATCTTCACGGGATACTTTTTTCAACACGAGGGTGTTTTCGTTCCATTCAAAGGTGGGTTTCCAAGTAGATTTCAGGGAAACAGAGCCTGTATTACCTTTGGTTGTTTTCCAAGTGTCGAAGGTTGACTTTACATCTTCCATGATGGTTTGTTCCATATGGGTCATAATATTCTGCCATAATTGATGACCTGAATAGACAGGATACGAACTACCCATGACATCTTTCAAAGTCACAGTTTTGTCTTTGGGCTCAAAGTTAATAAACCAATCACTGGCCACAGCATGACGCTTGGTCAAGGTGTAGCGATAGTTGAGTATCTTGGTGTCACTATCACTGTGAATGACCGCAGAACTATGTCCTACATCAGGGACCAAGACACTCCACAAACTGGCTTGCCAGGTATTGCCTTCTAAATTGGGTCGCACCGGTAAACGCACTTTAAAACTATTATTTTGGTTTTGGGGATGTTCGTCCGTGGGATCGCTGATCAAGGTTAATCGAAAACTCTTCATAACACTTGCAAATCTTTTTTCCACACCCAAGAGTTATATTTTTTCGGCCAACCCTTCCAAGACACAAAGACTTGTTTTCCTTTGCGTTTTAAAACTTGATCAATACGAAATAATGAATCGTCTGCGACATTGACCTTTTGCAGATCTGGTTCATAAAACGTTCCTTTTATAGGAGACCCGTCCCATTCCGTGAGTTTATACGTTATCACTGGTTTTGTCGTATAGATTTGTTTCACTAAAAACACTTCTTCGGTCCACCCAGGCAAATACCCTTTTTTAAAAGGACGAAATCTTTTATTGAGTCTTACTTTATCACCTACTTGACATTGCGGTTTTTTCACTTTGTTGTCTTTTTTTCGTATCGTATAAACGCTACCAAATTTCGGTTTCGTTGGACTCGTTGACATTGACAGGTTTTTCTTGAATACTACGATGATAGGAATGATTATATGCTTTCACTAAAGCACGCAACACATCAATATACTTGAGCGTATTATGCGCAGTAAAATAGCGAAACATGTTCGTTTTCAAAGTTCGATTCCAACGTTCCACTACGGAACCGTGAGGATCTCCATGCGTAGAAAAATGATTCACACCCTGTTTTTTAAAAAAGGATTGCACTTTAACATTATAAAATTCACCGCCAGAATCCGTCTGTACTTTTTGAGGTAAACGATCTCCTAATCTTGCCCATAGTCTTTGTAAGGCTTCTACCATCGCTGTTGCTCTTTTACTCTTTAACAGCTCTACCCAGGCAAATTTTGAGAGCACATCAATCACCGTCAGTAAATATTTGTACCCTTTGTTGTATTTGGCTAGTTTTTGCATGTCTACCAAGTGCATCACAAATTGTTCGTTGATGTTAAACACCAGGGTGGGTGATGTTTTAAACCGCCGACGTCTTGGTTTGTGCAGAGTGTAACTCAGTACTTGTTGCAGTTCCTTCTTGGCTTTGGACACGGGAATCTTGTGTGCTTTGGCAAATTTGGCAACACCTCCCAGTGATCCAGGCTCGGTAGGATCGACACACGAAGCGGATAATTTCGTTGACATAGTACACTAAAGTGCGACTTGCTAAATACCAAAATGAATACATGTTGTTGGCATGATGTTTCTTTAAATAGTCAAACACCTTGATTCCTTCGGATGGATGGTGTCGATGCAGCCAAGTGATGTACGCTGCATAATGTCCCCAGGTTGTATGGTTATGATTTATCATCCTTTGAAACATTGGGATAGGAGGACAAGTGTCTTCAGAGCATAGGTCGTTTAACAAACGACGACAAATCCACACCGTACTTCTATACTGAAGGTTTCCCATGACTGAATGAATACTTTTCAAAACAAATGATCGATTTTTATACGTCTTTATATTCTATTTTTAGAACACATTTCATTCCCCCTGTCTGAACATGTTTAATTCTCAAGGGCTAGGGTTTAACCCTAACCTAATTAACATTTTAACCCTAACCCTAATCGCAAGGGGCTAGGGTTTAACCCTAACCCTAACCCTAACCCTAACTCTAACCCTAATCCCAAGGCGCTAGGGTTTAACTCTAACCAGAAAACAACCACATAACATTTTTTTTTCAACACTTTTATTTAAACATTGACAGAACTAGTAATTGCTTGTTTCCATGCTATGCAAACTTTAAAGAGTCACTCAAAAGATTCCAGTTTCAAATGTTCTAAATGTTTCATAGGAATAAGGAGGCAATCCACATTTTCTTCTCTCTGCATTGTTTGCATCACATTCTTGAAAAAATCTCTTTTCTTTTTCTTGTTTTTGCTTGTCTGTTTCTTCTGGAACACATACATTCACTAATTGAGCAAAAAAACGTTCCTCCACTGGCGTTAAAGGCAATCCCTTCTGCTTTCTGTTGCGACAATAGGAAGCCAAACTGCAGACTTTTTCAGGCAAATAACCAAAAGACCAGTCTTCATACACTGCTTTGGCGATGGCTACTTCGTTCATTTCATACTTTTCAGCTCCGAGGGGAGGTTTCCACTCATTATGTTTGCTTGCTATGCAGGCATTTAAGAACTTTTCATCCGCAGGTGAGACAGAATGGCCTTTGCTTTTTTGTTTTGTTAGATACTCAGCTACATTTACATCCGCTGGAGGAAGATGATGCCATCGTTTCACACGAGAATGAAACCGATGGTTAGCAATACTAACAGCCTCCTTCCATTGCTCTCGTTTTTTGAGTTCCTTCTCTATCTCTAGACTTGACTGAAAGGTGCTTGGCAGAGGGGTGCTGTTCCAAGGAAACTTTGTTTGCGCTTTTCTTTGTTCTTCTTGCTTTTTGGCTGATTCAGCAAACTGTTTGGCTGATTCAGTAAACCGTGTATGTTGCTGATTCTGCTCTGTTTGAGTTTCGGCATCTTGTTTGCTGTACCAACCATTGCGTTGTTTCCACGTTTCAACATTCGCTTCTGCTTGTTTCATCCATTCGGCTCTGCTCAGGTTTGTCGCATACTTGAGTTTATGGATGGGTCTCTTATCGATAACCAGTGGTGTGTGAATCCACTGAAAATATTTGCAGCGAGTCTCAGCTAACGCGGGTGTTCCACAGGTTAAAAAGACTTTGTTCAGGTTTCTGGCGGTCTTACTAAGACGAAGGATAGGAATTCGTGAGCAATGACATTTCGATTCTCCCCATTTGGTTTTTACTTCTGCATGCATGTCTTTCTTTAAGGCATCATACACTTTCAGTTTGTCCAATTCTTTTCCATAAAATCTTGGGCAGAGTTTCTTTTCGTCAAAAATAGAAAGCAAAAATTGAGTGTTTAAAGGACCGTCAGGACCGCCAAAATCTACGTTCATCATTTCAAGATCTTTTTCTCTACTCATTTCACAAGCCATGGTAGCAGAGTTTGTGATTTGACCAGAGATTGCCCCAATTTTATAAGACTCCTAAGGTCCCTAGGGTATCGGGCAAGATCGGGCAAGAATCCCCAAGGGTGTTAGACAAATAAACACACGCTTGACTGAGATCACATTGTTTAATTTTAAACAACAAACTTTTACAACAACAAGAACAAAGTGTTTTTAGGGAAATTTAAATCCTCCTGCCTCTACTTTTGGTCGTTTCTGTAATCTTTCTTGTACCATCTCATGCATTCGTTTCTTGAGAGCTGAGGGTGTAAAAGCTTTAGGGACCTTCGCAGGTTTAGGTTGTTGGTGAATCCACTGAAAGTAATTACACCTGGCTTCTCTGGTCTTAGGACAGCTTAGGAACACTTTGTTTGGATTTCTTGGTGTTTGACTCAGCTTGAGTCTAGGCACTAATCCACAATGACAGCTAAAGGTTCCCCATTGCTCGTAGATTTTGGGATGAATGCTGTTACAAATGGTATCCAACACTGTCTGCTTGCTGTCTGCATTGCCAAAATACACGGGACATGTAGAACAAATGGCAAGGCCTTTTTCAGGCAGGACAAAGATGGTATGCAAAGGCTTGCTCGCATCCAACAGATATTCTTGCAAAGAAACTTCATCTAAATTAGGCACATCGAATTCCCCTTCTATAGGCCACCATTCCACTTGTCGACCATCTGGTAACACAGCGACTCCTTCTTCCATGATATGCACGGGATCTAGGTCAGGCTGTGTTTCCATAGAACTCGGACTATTGAACAGATCTCGGCAGGCCTGCTGCATTTCCTCATAGGAAGGAAGTTGTTCATTGACAATCATTTGAGGTTCTGGGTCCAGGTATTTCTGCAACCTAAATTTATCGTCTGTAGTGTAATGGGGTGCTGTCCATTCTTTTGTAAGAGGTTCTGCACTCTCAATCATTTGAGGTTCTGGAGTTGTCAGAACTGATTGAACCACTTCTTCTCCCGTCTTATTTTTGGCTTTTCTGGATTTCTTTTCTTTCTTGGGAGGAACAGAGTTATCAATGTCAAACGTTGGTTCTTGCAGATAACACATACAGCAAAATCACATCAAACACACAAATTTATACTTACTTAAAATACCTCAGGGAATTGGACATGTCTGGGGAATGACGTCACTCCTGTCACGAACTCGCACTAATCACACCCTTGAGACTTGAGTATGTTGGGGCAGACTATAAAAGAGATAAATTACCTCATTTCATTATTTAACAACATGACTCAGCCAAATGACAACTCGTTTTATGTGACGCTGACTAGTCAAAAAACACAGGAATTTCCAGACAATTTACCCACACAATTTCAATACCGTTTGCCTCAAAGCTTATGGTTACCGGGCAAATGGAAAGTGGGTTTGGCAAGTGTGTTTTTACCTGGCGTTTCCAATCCCATTCCCCATGTTGTCACATCAGATGTCAGTTCCTCTCTGACGAAACATCATGACAAATCCTACCAAACCTTTCGGTATTCGCTCGATTCACAACCGGTACAAAGGGAGCCATACCGATATTTTATTTCAACAATATGCCAAAGCTTTCAAATCTAGTCAATCTCAAGAATTTTTGTCCCAACTTAAAACAGCAGATTTGCAAGATGCCTCCAATGGATTTGATTTTATGTCCAAAGTTTTTTTGGTGGATGGAACAGGATTTAAACAAAAAATTACCCACGGAGTATGAATTTGCAGATAGTAATGATAATTGGAGAGTAGATGTTTCTGCTCAAGATAATTACACGAGTTGGTTGCTTCGGCATTACAATGTTGAAAGTACCAACAGAAAAAGTGTGCCTTATTTAGCCATTAATTTGATCTTGGCTAAACAAATGGGTTGGGTTGTAGAAACAACTACCAATGTGTTTACAGTGGGACCGAATTTACTCATGCAGCTTCCATACGGTACTACTAGTGTAAAACCAGATCCCTCGACCTGTCTCAATGCAAAATTTACTTTTACTCAACCCATTCATGTAGTAGACGGATTGCTGTATCTTTGCTCCACGTTTAGTTGGCGCTTTGTAAATTTAAATGAAGCCTTTGACAAAGCAATTCATAAACCCTATGAAATGCCAAAAACAGTGTTCAATGTGTTCAAACCCTGGATGACTAACCTTTCCTTATGGAAAAAGGTTATTGGATTAGACTTGGACGATTACTTTATCGACTTGCCTGTGTCTCCTTATTATTGGAAACCCAGAACTTTGAGTCTGCATTTGTTAAGAGGAGTAAAAATTGTGGATATGGTATCTCACGGAGATTACTCAGGGGAACTGGGAATTGATATGAGCTCCTTAACTCGCAACAAAACTTATACGGTGGCATTAGAGTGGTACCAAAAGGATGAGTGGCTGTTTAACCGTTCTAAATTTTCAGTGGAAGGAACGGGTTTACAAGTTCATCATTTGCGGGTTGAAAAACATTCTCATGAGCAAAACAAAACCCATTTGATTTATTACCACACCTTAACTATTCAATTCACCAAAACTTCAAGTAGCAATGCCACATTAAGCATCAAGTTTGAAATAGGGTTTCCACTGCCTGCAAAATATTCAGGTGATTTGAAAGACAACACTTTTTTAGTGCTGTATGGTGTGGATGGACATGTAGAACAGGTACCCGATGTGTATGACGATCACCCGGTCATTCCTTCTTCTCACACAACCACCAAAACAACGACTACCAGTACGGGGGACAAGAAAGCTTCCACACATCCTAAATCTCATGGAACAGACAATTTACGCCCTCTGTTTTTGTCATGCAATTTAACCAAAAGCATTGATGGAAAAAGAACCATCATGAAATCTGTCGCTTATAATAACGAAAAAACGCTGATTGAATGTAACCCCATTCAGTTTTATTCCTTGAGGAGTTATTTGGTGGACATTTTAGAAGTGACTGTGACAGAATGGAATAACCTTATTCCCGACTTAAATCAGGATAGTCCAACTATTGTCACCCTATTGTTCAAGAAAAAGCTGACAGAGTCACAACGCAAATACATTAAGTTGGATGAATCAATCGACCATGACCAACCCATATAAGCAAGCCTGGCAGCACAGATCATTCATTATGTGTGAGACCTACTGGATCAACGTCGCAAGTAAATCACTCGCTTATTGCGCACAGCTGTTGCAACAGATTAAAGAACTCAAGGAAAAGGTCGCGACACTCCAAGAAGAAGCAGCTAGGTTGAAAACGTTGATTGAAAAACAAGAACAGCTAGTACAAGATCTCACCGAAAAACATGGGGGCTACGACACCGTCTACTAAATTGCAACATCTGTTAAGAAAAATACAGCCGTGTCAATTTGCTTCCTACAAAGAATTTATACGAGCCTTGATGATTGAGGCATTAGGGAACAGCGACATGAACTTTGATCAATTGAATTGTAACTTGTATGAGCTGAACCGTGAAATATTTCATCAAGTGAACAAAGAAACCTCAGCCTTTTACATGTTCTTGGCAAACAAACGACCTGATATAATGTCCCATGGACCCTCAGACTAAAAGCATTCACTATGGAGCCATCAAAGAGTTTAGACGACATTTTACAGCATATGGATCCTTCACTACTACAAGGATACAAAAAGTTTATACATGAGGTGATTAGACTAGGTATCAGCTGTGACAATTGTACGTTGGACACTTTAAACAGTTGTTTATTGGACTTACACAAAAAGGTCATGAATGATATTGTTGAAAAAGCTATTTCTTACTACGAGGTGTATGCACCAGAAAAAACTAAGTCCTATGGGATTTAAACATGTCCGGACAGTGACGTCAATGGTCTTCTATAAAACTCACGTTGTTCAACTCATCACTACATACTACCATGGCTTTCACGATCATCTCTGGCGGCGCTAATGGAGTGGATTTAGAAGCAGAAAAGTTAGCAAGACACTATGGTTTGCCAGTGCGTGTACTCATACCTCCTTGTCATCCAAGAAAAGCCTCCATTAAACCGTTAACTCATCAACAATTAGCTGAAGCGATTCCTATCACAACTAAAGTAGCATTTCGTCTCAAGAAACAGTTAACCAACCCCATCAGTTTACTGTATATTCACCGAAATTATCACGTGGTCAAAGATGCGGACCTGGTGCTAGCATTTACCTGTTCTGAACAAGAAAAAAATGTTTGCATGGGCGGAACAGGCTGGACCGTGGAAATGTGTAAACTCCTCAACAAAGTAGTGTATGTGTACGATGTGGAACGAAACGTGTGGTTGTGGTATAATCCTACTAAACATATGTTTTACGCCTGTGATCAGATGTCAGAAGAGCAGTACGCTTTACCCACACTCGTGAAGAAAACCGCCATCATTGGAATGAGAAACATTTACGATTACCCTGAGGCTCTTTTAGAATTGCAAGAGACTTTTAAACGTAGTTTACATTTACCTAAACCAGAAGACAAGGATGTCAAGGAACTTTGTAACCCATTTAAATTTTTATCTATTTTATAAGTTAAAGCATAACAACTCAAATCTGCGACAAATTGTTTTTTCCCTTCCTCGATAGGTTTCCATATGTTTGCTTAATAAATCAGGACGTATGAAGCCTTGAAAGCAGCGTTCACAGAAAAACGTTTGACTGTCATTTGACCAAGGAACACCCCCGTAGGGATTTTGAGTTCTCCTGGTTTGCAGCTGTAAATCACAGAATCGGTGTCATAGTATACCACTTGCTCGTTTAACTTTTCCAGTTCTTCTTTAAACGTGAAACATATTCTGTAACAATAAAATCAATCGAGTCTTCTCCGAGCGCCATCTTGAATTTTTAATTTGATTGACAACTGAGAACAATAGCCTAAAACAATAGGCGGCGGCGGCATCCTTTGAGACCACTACTGACGCCTACCACTACTAAAACAACCCATGTAAGGAGTAAACATAACCCCATTTCCGGAGTTATTTTAACTCCAGACTAGGAGTAAAAAGAACTCTTTTTCAGGAGTAAAAATGACCCCAAATTTGGAGTTAAATCAGGAGTTAAAGTAACCCTAAAAAAGGGGTTATCCAGTGTCTAAAATTTATACTCCATTTTTGGAGTTATAATAACTCTCTAAAAATTACGGTGCACAGTTTATTTCATCCTAGATATTTTGAGAACGGACCTCTGGAACGGCCAGGGTATATGCTCACCGAACTGAAGTGTACTAAACTCAGAAGAATTTGAAAGTCGTGAAGGCCGATTGCCTCACCCATTGGATAGCGATTTATTCGGTGGATAGCGCTATCCAACGTTTGAACAACGGGAGCCTGAAGGAGGCTACATGTTTAATAAATGACCGTAAAGCGAGTCCACTCTCGCCGCCATTTCGGAATTCGTTTGCGGTTTAGTGGATTGGCGCCACAGGAAAGAATGTTTTTTCCTATTTATATTCAAGACTAAGAGACGGGAATGGGTTTGCAGCTCGAACTGTAAGCCTGAGTGTTTATTGTCGTCCAAATATTCACCATCATAACTAAAGAATGGTATACAAATATTCCTAAATAAAGTCACTCAGGCTAAACTATTAACGTGCGCCGCCTGATACGAAAGCTCAAAAAACCCAATGGGAAAAAATTGGGAGCGTTTTCCCCAACCGATGCCGTCGAGCAATCTCTGGGGGTTAAAGGTTAAAAATTAATCGATAGATGAATATAGTTACATATAAAATAACAGTTGATGGTTCGAGAGTTGAGATGAATACATTACAGCTGTCAAAACCATTACAACCCACGGGAATTACACCCAGAGAAGCGCATGTGGGTAGGCAATTTGACTTCCTGAACGTCCCCAGGGTAGGAAATCTGACTCAGCCGCCATCTTGGAAAGTGGAGGACCAGGGAATAAGTGATAAGAGGTACATCATCTTAGAAAATACCCAGTAGTCATTTGGATGAGTTTCCCACATTTTGATGTGTTCATTTCTTTGTGAAGGATGGCAGAACGAACCTTGCTTTTTTAGATTTTGAGGTTGCATTTATGACAAAAAGTATTTTGTCCCTCAGCATTCGGAAGCCAAACTGGCACAAAGTCTGATTTTGAAAAAA